ATACCTGCACCTTTAAAAACACAATTCTGCCAAGAAAACGATAATGTGCAGAAGCCAAATCCAGTTTTTGTTTTTTGATACATTGTGGTTTTTATTTGCATATTAATATTTAAACATGACTTCTTTCAGAATTTCGACTCCATTATCATAAAGCTATAATAAACTGGAAGAGCTCTGTTAAAATGATAATATTAATGATGTCCATGGAGGCACTGACTTCACCATTACTACCAAACTACCAGTATAGAGGCTCAGAGGTTATGGAAAATCACTGGTGCTAGGTGGAAAGTTTCCCTCCTCTACTAATTTTCTTTCACTTTATCACTATATATGCTATTGTATTCATGCTTCTTTCCATGTCCCCTGTCTTTCTCTGTCTTTTCTGTGTCTATTTAAGATTCTTCTTTACTTTTTTGAACAGTTTTCATCGGGTTTCTTATTTTTAGCCACCAGCCTTCTTATTTTACCTCTGTAAAAACGATTCCTGTTTGTGAAGCTTGTGTTCCCATCCTTCAATTTTTCCTTTCCACTTTCTTCTGTCATAACTCTCTTTCCCCAGGGAATCTCTCTGTTAAAGCGTCAGCCTCTCTTTTTAATTCTTTACCGTACAAACTGCACTGGCGGGCTGCTTCTGATCATATAAGACTTTCAGAAAAAAACAGATTTTTAAATCGTGATCAGTGAAATTGTTGATGACCTGAACTTGAGATCAGAAATTTTGAAGTTGAACTGTTCAGAGTAAAACATTATAGAAATAGTGCAATAGCTTTACGCAGGTCACCTGGTGGTATTTTCACTATGTGGGCAATTTGTGATTATTGACGTAAACAAAACACTGGATAATCAAGGATAATTAACAAAAAAAGAAAATGCCTTTACCCAGTTCACAAATGCTTAGGAGCTAATATTAGTGACTCATCCCAAGAACCTTCTGTTAAATCAGAAAATAACTTGTACAGTTGTTTGTTGGTTGAAAATTGGTGGAAAAATTGTAACTGAACTAATTTGTAGAAATAATACATTTCAATGTATGTCTGTGCTGCTAACAAAAGCACCATTATAACTGTTGTACCTTTTTTCATGTAACATTGTACTTCTAAAGATAACAAAAGCCTTCTGGGTAAATTGTGCTGCACAGAGCAGGTAGTAAATCTGGATGATGGGTGTCTTGTGCACCTGCATGAGTAGAAATCTCAGTAGAGCTCATTTTCTTTTCTCAGCAGCAGTATATACACTCCGCTAATTCTTTTTTTTGTGGAAAAGACCTGCAAGAGGTGGCACATTGAAGTCACTGTTCTCCATTCTGCACCTGTCCCATCCCCCTGCACAGGTGGCCCGACGGTGCTGAGGAACCAGAGTTCTTTGCTTTACGCAAGTCATCTCAGTAAAGCCTTACCCTTCCTGCACCAGTTTTCTCAAGTAGCATGTGGGTTATTTTGTGTCACATCATCACACACTTGAGTCACACCATCACAGATCTTAATGACATTTACCTGTTGATCTGGTCATTTGAGAAACCTGTGAAACTGAAATTGTATGTTTCGCGGATCCTGAGATATGGGCTAACCGAGTCTGAACTTTTTTTTGGTGGAGGCATATCTCCTTCAGTTCACATAGAAGTTGGTTCTCATATCGTTTCAATGCACCATTCCAGCTCACACACTCCCAGATCTTTTGAAAGCCCAGCGTCTGAGAACAACACTTGGGTGGTCTGTCCGTCCTCTGTCTGTGCTGCACTTCCACTATACAGTGACGTGTGGTGGTTCTGATCAGCTCTTCCTCTCTCTCACGCTGAAGGGCCACTTCACTTTCCCAGCTCTGATGACAGAAAGGGAATACGTCTGGATCATTTCATCCAGCGAGTGGACGGGGTGGGGTAAAGAAAAGCAGTGCGGGGGTGTCACCGTGCACATCTGGCCGCCCTCTCAGAAACGTAGCTGAGCTTCAGTTTCATTGCATCTCACTGTCTGGGCAGCTGTCAAATGAATGACATGTTTTACATCACCACAATTTGTACATTTTCATCATCTTCAAATAGCTCATGAAGCCTCCATTTTTTATAAGCTGTTTCATTTCTAGCGTCTTCTTTTCTGCGGGGTTGATCCGACGTTGCATCAGAATGATTGCCACGGGATTCCTATTAGGAGAGGGGAGGAAGCCAGAGACGGAAGAAGAAGAGAGAAGGATACAGTATGGGAAATAGGGGGGATTGTAAAGGACGGTAGGGAGACATTAAGAGAGGAGGAGGGAGAGAGAGAGGGAGTGCAAGAGAGAGGAGAAGATTTGTGGGGGGGGGGGGCAGAGGGCCGAGGGCCAGTCAGAGATAAGAGGCAGCGAGAGTGATTGAAATAGGATTAGTGGAGACAGGCTCTGCATCCAGGGCCACAGCATCACAGTGTTAAACCTGCGCTTCACAGGCGCTGCCTCTGTCACATCAAAGCCTCCCCAGGCCTGGCTGGCAGAGAGGCGAAGCAGCCGCCAGCAGGGTCGTCCACAGACACACACACGCACACACACACACGCCACAAACATGAAGATTCCGATCACATCCTCCATCCACCTCCAATATGTCTCCATTACGGCCCCGAGAAGCCGCCTCCTTTCACCTCGTCCTTTCATCTCCCTGCAGTGTGTATGTGGCGTTTTTTTGGATGGTGGATGGCACGCGTTGATGAGCTATCTTTAACATGTTATGAGGCGAGCGGGGATGAGTTGGCATCGGGAAGCTACTGTCTCCCGCTTCCTCACAGTCCAAACAAAGTTTTTAATGAGAACTTTCCCCCAATTTGTGCCAAAAGCGCTGAGCTTCTTAACTCTCTCAACTGCTTCCCAGACTGAAAGTATAGAGTTTTTTTTCTTTTTTTCCCCCTTAAGCTCTGAAGCAGGGCAGGAACCTGCGTGCAAATAAATGGACAGGTAACACACGAGCCAGCTCAGTGGCTTGTATATACAGTAGAACGTATTCAATCAATAAATAGAAAATATGAAAATATGATTCAATGTCATCTGGGATTTTAGTTTCAGTAAACTGGCGTGAATCTCATGTTTAAGCGATATGATTTAAAAAGGAAGAAATTAATGTTTCATCGTCAAATATTCAAATTACTACTGATTTTCAGTGTTTCTTATTTTTATATCGATATCGGCATTTATTTCAAATTATAACAATTTGATTTTGTCAATATCACTTAGTGCTAATTCCCTTCTAACTTTTTAATCAATACATCGTGTCTTGGTTGCATTTAAATCTTTAAAGTAATATAAAAATCACATCAGCCATAATACATCTTCCAATCTGTACTTGGTCCTCTACAGTTTGAGATACTGCAGTTTCTTCCCCCCGTGCTGCATGTTCTATAATCAAATGAAACCCACTGCTCATCTTGTGTACTTACACTGGAGTGTGTCAGTGTGATCAAACATTGCACATCCGCCCTGTTCTGTTGCATTAGATGATGGATCTCTTTAGCTAAAATGGCCTGTTTATCTGCAGAGGAGAGACGATCCACTGATTGGTGAGTGCTGCCTTTGTGTTCATAGTTTTTTAGGGTAAGCGCATGTGTGTGAATATACATGCTGTGAGGGTGTGTCTGTGTGCATGCGTGTGTGTGTGTGTGTGTGTGTGCTTATACTCATTCAGTATCTGTGTTTGTGAGCTGGTAGTTTTCCTCTCGGTTCTCATCAGTTCATATCCACCACCCACCCCACCGCAGCATGCAGTAAATAGAGTCTCTGCCACTCGTTGAGAAATGGCACAATTATCCCCTGCTGGTGAAATATGGGCCAGGATGCACCACTGCTTCTTCCCCACAGAATGAATGAATGTGTGCGTGTTTGTGTGTACGCACGTGCCAAATGCTTCTATGCTCAGTCATTGCAAAGTGCGTTAAACACACAGGGAATTGTTCTCACTTATGTTTTTATATACAAGCTTGTACACACCACCCACACAAATGGAATTGTACAAGGAAAAGTGAAGCTGCACACGCACATAAACAAATATACACATTATATTATATCCACACATGCAGATTGACACACACACACACACACACATTGATACATACTGTACTCACAGTGCTGCTCATCCTGCACACAATGCAACGTGTTGCTGTTTTAGCTGAGAAAAGCAGATAGTGGGTCAATAACACATTTTGTTTATATCAGGGTTCATAATTTCAATTTGGGCTGTTAGGTTTTTGTGCTAATGTTCAGAAAATACATCACTTTCCTCATAACCCTTTGCTGAAGCTCCTCTTCTGGAACACTTGGCTTTCACGCCTTTCCCGACCATGTAGGAAATGTTGGCATCCAATCTCGCTTCACCAGGGTCTGTCAGAGTCACAGCTAGGTACGCATAATGCAAATGTAGGGTGAATGGGTAGGGTGTCTTCATCAGGTGGATGCAATTGTTTGTCTCTTTGGAAAAATGTTTGATGAGAGGAGTGGGATCATTCTCAGAATAAAGCTGGTTCCAACATGTTTTACGCATAACTTTGCATTAATAATGGAAACAGGGGGAACAACTGACTCGGCTGTGGGCGAAGGTTCAACAGTCCACCTACCGGCACCTCTTAAGTTCAACACGTTATGTCACTTTACGTTTGTACTCTCAAGCGAAAAACAGTTTTCTGCTCATTTTGTACTTTTTAGATGCGAAAGGAATGAATCACAATTGAATATGTTGCAGTGAACTTTGAAGACGCTCCACTGTTCATGTGTGCTATTAGACCTTATGAAAATGTTCAGTGACCCTCTCAAATGTCAGGGGGCTGCACATTCATTGAGAAGTCAGCCACACACGTAACATTATTAACCTCGAGTGATTTCTCTCTCCCGATGGCTTTTGACATTTGTGCTACTTTGCAAATTGCAGCTGCAACAAAATGGAGGAAAGTACGGAAACTAAAACATCTGCTTTAACCGCAGGATGGTAATCTGAGTGTCGAAGGTCCTGAAGAGTCAAAAACACTGAATTCCATTTCTCTTTTTCTTTACAGGTATGGAAAAATAGTGTCAACCAAGGCCATTCTGGACAAGAACACCAACCAGTGCAAAGGTAAATGACTTTGTCTGTCTTGTACACCTACCGTGTTTTAGTGCGGCAGCTATCACCCTTTAGACTTTGTCTCATCACGGGAACAAGAGTACGAGTCCTTTTACACAGTTAAGGAAGCTTTCGGCCGTAAATCAGTGATTTAGCGAGTGAAGACTGCAGGAGGGCTTCAGATAAACATCCTGCTCGTGCTTCAGAGGTTTAGCAGCCTCTCTTTCAGCCCCTCCCTCGCTCCTCTTCGATTTCCTCTTTTGTCATATGGAACACGATCTTCTGCAAAGTGCGTCTCTGTAAGAGGGTCCATTAGTGTAGTGTGCACAGTAAATGGTGCGCACATGCAGCAGTGACATTAGTGGCTTTTTTGAAATTGTTTCTCCAGCACACACACTACACACATTTACATGCTTGAACATACACAACCAATTAGTGGGCTAATAAGCTAGTTTGGATTAGATAAACTTTAATTACCGTCATTGTCACACTCAAGTTCCCGGTGTCTTTGCTCTGTTTTCACTTCAGCCACCTGTGTGTCATGCCTGTGAATATTTTTTCGTTTTGTTAAGAAATAATCGAGACCAACTTTGTCTCCAGCGAAGAGTGAGTGAAAGAGGGAGAGCGAGAGGAGAGAATGGAGCGATAGAGAGATGAGGGAAAGAAAAGATTAGTGTGCTACTTGCCCCGAGGTGTCTGGCAGCACTGTTTAAGAGCTATTGAAGTTCCATCAATACTTTTAATTGCTTTTTGTGGTTTCCCGGACTCTGAAGTGTGGCCTTTCAAGGTGAAGCCGCCTTTCTAACCCCACTCCACGCCTGAGTTTATCCTGCCAGGTTTTCTCTGGGTCAAAATGCTGCGGAAAAGAACCTCTGCCTTTTATAGAGGATCAAAAAAAAAGCTGATTATCCTGACAGGTCCATTTTTTGTGAGTCCTATGGGCTATTAAAGACAAGAGTGGATGCATGTTAGTGGGAAGGATGTCTCCACAGGTCACAGGAAACAGCAGAGGGTGGATTAAAGAGGAGAAAGGCAGCGCCGAGGGAGGTCGCGCAGGAGGCAGACCTCCTCCAGCTTCTGTGACGAAATAAAAGAAATGGACTCTATCGCAGTTCATCCCTCTCAGTGTCCAGCTGACCTGAGTTATGCACAGCGCAAGAATATCAGCGTAGCTCAGCCCCGTGTTGTGTGGGAGACAATGTTTCCATAAGTCACCCTCCTGGAATGCAGCGCCGCTGAAATGCCAAGAAGCGAATATAAGCAGATGTATCAATGAGTGGAAAGGATGGTCCTGCTCTATGCCCAGTGGAAGAGTGGGAGGTGGGCACACAGGAGGGAACAGTGTGAGGAGAAAATTACAATTCTCTCATTTTTAAACGAGTACACACACACAAAAAATCTAAACTAAATCTCCAGAAAGGTGAGAAGGAATCAAAGCATGAATGAGACAAGCAGGTGTTATGAAGCCTGATGGGCCGGCCTGCGTCTGCAACAAAGCCGAATCGGCACATCGCCCCGATCTAGTCACGCATTGTTTCCAGTCATGTGACCCCTCGACCCTGACACTTGTTTAAATGTCAGAGCAGCGGCTTATCACTGCTGTCCCGCCATCACACACAGCGAGCATCCCTCTCCTCCGTATCCTCGCTCCCTCTCCTCCCCTTGGTGTTATTTGTGTTTAGTTCTGCACGCTGAGCGCGCTGCCAAAACAACGTGAGAAAAATGGGTGAGAGAAGAGGTCAGGACCGGTCATCTCTGAGAGGGAGGTAGCTGGAGCGAAAGATCGACAGTGGAAAACAAAGAGGCAGACGTATCTTGTTGGATTTATATTGTCCAACAACATATGCACACTAATAATTCACTATAATCACAATCTATTGGGTCAGTTTATCCTCTTTTTGGATTGGTCATATACCTTTTTGATTTACTGTAGATTTCAGGCAGAGGTTTTTCAGTTGAAAAGTTGAAAAACCACAGGTAATTTCACGTCATTTAAAAAAACACACTCAGCAAGGTGCCTGATAAAGAACACAATTTATAGATAATAATTAGTTTCATGAAAATATTTGCATTTGCCATTCCATCAGTAATAGATAGAAAATATATAATTATGTACAATGAAGATTACTTCTACAGATGTGCTGATTTAATTTGGGCTTTAAAAGAAAATATCTAGACCTACAGTGTTTTTTTTATTTTACTGTCTTTCTGATGGAAAAACTTTATGTCCAATATAAATTCACTATTTTAAAAAAAGGACAGTTTGAAGTCCAGTCTCCTGGATTGATTTCCTCTGTCAGACCCACAATGACATACTCTCTTTTGCCAACCTCACCTGTCTCCTTAAAGACGACCTTCACTGATTAAAATTAATAAAATCTTTACAAAAAAGTTTGTGCACTTGCCTCTCAGTGCAAGTGAAAGAAAAACTTTTTCCACAGTTAAAACAAAATAGGAAAAAGTGATCCTGGCAAAAAATAAAAAATCCTTTGCCTCCTCGGGTTCTTCCTTTTAGATCCCATACACAATATGTGTTGTTGTGTGATGCAGCTTCAGCACAACTGGCTCTGCTGGATATGTTTCTTGGCAGCAGCCTTATGAAAAGCTGTAAGATTCCATATACTCTACAGATACTAAAACATTATTGTGCAGGTTTAGTTATATGCCACCACAGTTTGTTACGAACTAGTTTATGCAGCTTCTGCAGTGATGTACCTTTCCATACATCGAGATATAGACTATAGATGCTTTAGATAGCTCTTCACTATTCATCACTACATACATGATAAATGTATTTCTATAAGAAATGTTTTTTTATTTGTTGTTCCAATGTAATGCCTATAAAAAAGAATGAAGCTGAGAGCACGATAGGTAGATGGATGGCTGATAATATGTACTGCAGAATAGGGAGCGTGGGAGTGAAGCCTGCATTTTGTGGGAATGCAGAAAAACAGTTATGACGCTCTCGGTACTCACAGGTCAGGTGTCAGGGAAAATACGCATTTTCAGCGCAAACACAAACATAAACCCGACACACGGCGCCCACGTACAGACATGAACACATTGTTTCCCCACTAGCACAAGTCCATCTATACATTTACCCTCTGTAGAAAAGAAAGTGTTGTACAGCCAGGTCTGAAGTACATTCAACAACAAAAAATACACGCTAAGAACATGTAATGCACCTCTCCCACGCACTCAAACACAAACGGCCACTCTCTGTTTTCTCTCACACACACAAAGAGTGATCGTGCCCCTGCGCACACTCCCCATCCATCTGCCGGAGGTGTGTTAGGCTCTTGCAGCAGCAGCAGTGGCCATGCAACAGATCTATCAATCCTTCCCCTAACATCACAGCGTGTGTGCCTGCCTGTTCTGGCTGCTCTCCTCCACCAAGCAGGCCTTTCAATGAGCCTCTCTATCTTCACAGTGCTGACTCACTCCCTTGCTCCAACCTTATTCTATGACACACACATACACAGGCTTTCTAGGCACACACACACACACACGCACACACACATACCCACATACTTTTGCCACACAACAGACACATAAACTGTGCATGCAGATAAACACACACACACACACACACACACACACACACACACATGCTTTGGAGTTAGCCCAGTTCAGAGAGCGATGGGAACGGGAAGTTGTGAAAGGGCTTCAGGGCTGTCAAGCGCTGTTGGTGAGTGGAGGCATTCAGCTCTTCATCTCCCTCTCACACTTTCATGCTCCTCCACACTCTGCCTCTCTTCCCCTCTTTGTCTCCATTGTTTTCTCCCCCTCGCTCACAGGCCCTGTCTATCTTTATATCTGTCTCTGCACTTTCACATTTAACTGTGGAAACACAGCAGAGATTTGGGGTTTGCATCACAGATGGAGTGGGGGGGGGGTTGGGAACGGTGGCGAGGGAGCGAGACAGGGAAAAGATTGCGAGAGCCCAAAACTGCTCATTTGCCCTCCGTGCCCACGAGGACCTCTTTAAAAGGCAGCGGCGGCATTTGAAATAAAGCAGGACTGACCGAGTGGAGACATTTTATTTTCCCTGCCAGTGCCCGGAGGCAGAGGAAATGACCTCAACCCTTTAAAGGACCTCCGTTTCCTCCTCCGCCCTTGGGAGATAAGGCCCTGCCGAGATCCACCGGTCTGACTGGCGCTGTGCGCCATGGCCCACCGCACTGAATTGTGGGAGATAGATGAGATGAGAAGATTGTGGCTCTGTGTTTTCGGCAGTTTGTTGTTGCTCATTTCTTTTTTTTGCGTCCTAACATGCCATTAATTTTGTATGTGGATGCTGAAAACTCACAAGGGCATTACGTAAACTTGCATCTTGAAAGCATTACTGTTGCCCTCTCTGTGTTGTGCGGGTGACTAAATGTAGCATGCAAACATTTTATTCTTTTCGCCCTTATAAATGTAAATCGTGCATCCAAACATTTGATTATTAACTTCAAAGCAGCACATACATGAGTTTATAACACATTTGCATGCAGTTCTCCCAGTGTGGACACGGTGAACTCCTTGGCCAATCAATTTCCACTCGCTGGGCTACACATGCAGCCTCTGTCTGCTGCAATTTAAAAGCCTGTCAGATGCTTGACCATTACAATCTGAAGCATCCCTCGCCCATACCGCAGGCTCGGCCTAATGGAGAAATATAGGCAATGTAACATTCTATAAAAAAAGATTTATTGCTGCATCAGTGCCTGAGTGGAGTGTTGCATGACTTTGAGCATAAGCGCTATTGATGAATGAGGTGACGTGCTCCGAAAAGTCCTGTTTTTCATTGTCATGTGCATGTATCTCTGCGTGTTGCGGGGTGGGGAAGGGGAGGAGGTTGGGAAGAAAGGCAGCGAAGGTCTTTTTTTTTTTTTTCATCCGTTATTGGTTTCTCATTAGAAGGCCGAGATATAAACATTTGTCTATGTTGCGTACGGTGCCGGCGCAATTAAGGATTCTCTTTGCCGCCCCCCTCTGCCCTTTGAAAGTGAATTATGTGCAGATGAGAA